AAGTACTACATACAGGTACGCTGGTTAACTTAAGGCTAGAATCATTAGGGGTTAGGCTGATACACACATGAAACAGTGATTTAGAAGTAAATGTACAGTAGTTGTGCAGTAGTTAACTGTACGGACCACTTCAGAAATGATACATCTAATAAAGTATAGATCTTCACATTGTTTCTCCTGTCTTTGCATTTCATTACCTTGTTTATGGTTGAATAACTGTTAGAATGGGTCTTTAATTTACACAGGAAATGCATATGACAAAATAACAATGACTTAAAAGTCAGCTCTATATTAATTAAACATTGTTCTAATTGGGTACGGGACAAATTAAAATGCAGGAAGGTAGACATTGTCATTACTTTGTTTAAAGTTTATATAAAACAGGCGACGACCCAAATATTGCTAACGTTATATATTATTAAATAGATAATACAAAAAAATGTCATGTATTTAGATATATCAGGAGAGGAAAGCACTCGCTGTACAGTGTAACATCCGCCACGTATCAAATCATCCGTAGGACATGTACCGAGTACACTACACGATGTTAAACGCATCGAAGAACTTTAGCCACTGCTGATGTGAACGGGTAATATTCCATCTTTCACACTATTCGGATAATCAGGGCACAGTGAGCAGGACTTTGCTCTTTGACCTTTGACCGTTCTAAGGAAAAAGCGCAAAGGGCGAAAGCAGAGTTGGGAGCTATTTTTGCAGAATCCTTGCAGGGCTGTTAGGCAAACAAGAGCCATACCAGAGTATACTGGTGCTTAACACCATGAGGTAAGTTACTGAGAAATTATGTGCTTCGTTTTTTGTAGAAAAGCCGGTGTTGTAACGCTTGTTTTACACGTTTTCGGTGCAGTGGACCGCTGCCTTGAATTTGGGGAGGGGGTTAACTTGCCGGTTTACCTTCACGTGACTGTCATGTGTCGATCGATAGGAAGTTAGGCTGTCGATAAGTTAATTAAGAAACTTTTACACTGTGGCAACTTAACTAAAATGCCATCGTTCACATACTCTGTAAGGCAGCGACACTATAGTACATAATAGCACTCTAGATCTAGTAACGTTATACGATGGGATACACTAACGTTACATATCCCACATATATACTAAGCAGATATCAGTTGAACCTGAACTTTAGCCCAACATTCATATTACCTATTACATCATCCATGTCTTGACGATATGCAACTTCATCTGATATCTACAATAATTAGTTTTGCAAGGGGTAGCTAAATTTAATCTGAATTCAGATCTTTTTTTTCAACATTTTTAGTTTTGGTTGTAGACATTTGTTTGTCACAGTGTTGCTAACACTAAGTTACAGTTACGATAAAGGGCTTTAATATATACCGGAATGTATTACATCTACAGGCCTGTAGATGTAATACATTCCAGTATGTGTGTGTCTATGTATGTACAATAGGGCTGCGGACCGGTACACTGTACCGGTCCAATACCGTAAAAATCGTTTCGGTACAGGTCCAAAATACCGGATCATGAAGTAACGAGTATATACCGAAATAGCTAGTTTACACCATGTATATGACTAAAGATAGGTAAATCCTACCACAAAGACGAAAAATTAGCACTGGAAAAGATGTAAACACCGTCGATTGATTTGAGATCCTCAGTCTCACGAGACATCGCGAGAGTGTGGCTGATCCAGGGTTGTGATTGGAAGATACTGACAAGTTGTCAACACTTTATTATTGCAAGTTGTCAACACTTTATTATTGTTTGTGTCATGATTGAAAAAGTGAAGAACACGTGTTAATTTGTCGAATTGTTCAGGTACAGGTACAGGTCCGGACCTGTACCTAAACCTCTGTACCGGTACCTGTACCTGTACCTGATGTTGCGTTTAGGTACGCAGCCCTAATGTACAACCATAGCTGGTGTGGGTTAACGGAAAACCCTAGCTGGTGTTATGCCGAAGGGTGGTTATAACGTTACCGGCTATACCGATAGAGATCTATACAGATACAAATTAGATTTTAAGAATTTTAAAAGAATTTTAAGTTATGTTTTAACCCTATATATATATATTGGGACAAAAGTAGATATGTCCATATGGCTATACTTTGCACAATCAAAATGTAAAATGATACCAATCATAAAGTATGGAATATTTTCAGATAACAGCTGACCATGACCATGAGTGTACAAACGGAGACCTCCACCTTCGAGCCCAGCTGTCCCACCTCCTGTAACGTCACGTCGTGGGCGCGGCGGAACTGTACCGCGGAGAACGTGCGCGGGAAGTTCCCCATCACGCTGTGGCTGCCACGGTACCAGTGCAGCTGGGTACAGTCCGACTTCATCGCAGGCCTGACCGTGGCACTGACGGTTATACCTCAGGGACTCGCGTACGCACATCTCGCTGAGCTACCTCTACAGGTACAGAAATGTGTATGTAGTAAAGGGTAAAAGGTAGTCCCATAGCCTTTTTGGCGACGTCTCAGGGAGGAGCCTAATGGTACAGTATTGTGTGCAGTTTGCAAGAATTCTAGGAACGGTACAGGCATTTTGTCCACAGGAATGGAATGTCCACAGGCATGTCTCTGACCCACATCTATGCCCACATTCCTAGAAACCCTTGGGAAGACCTCTCTGCTCCGGATGGCCCTACTCTCTGTGACCCTGGGGCTCGTTCACTATACACTCAGGGGAGGAGTGCACTGTATGTGTCTAGACTTAACAGGTACCATGGCTCCCTCGAAATCATGAAATCATGACAGTGCCATGCAAACAATAACCCTAACAGCAACCACCGTCGCCATGGCAATGTATGTTTTCATTGCCAGTCTTGTTAGGCATTAGGCCTAGGGGCAGTGGGTTGTTCATCCATTGTGTCTAAGGTACATTTTGCCCTCCATCTGAAGTCAGGTACCCATTTTATACTTCAACCAGGTTGAAGTGAGGAAAATTAAACTTAAAGCCATGTAAAAGTGCCTTGCCTAAGGCCACAATGTCTTGCCAGGAATGTCAGGAATTGAACCTGTACATGGCTGCCAGCTTTAGCCATTCAGTTCCACATACATGTTTGTAGTAGTACAATTGTATGTGATATGCATGTATTATAACACAGACTTTCTGTCAAGGGAATGTGCATAGTTTTATGATGCACTGAAACAACACTGATCATTTTATTCATCATTGATAATTCAGAAAGTCATCCTCCAACATTTAATTCTAAGGACAGCAACATTTGGAGTCCACATTTAAACACAGAACTAACTTTCTGAAAACCGGCAGGACGTACATTAGACTGTAATTGAAAATTGTTTTATTTTTGTGTTTTCAGTATGGCCTGTACTCGTCCTTCATGGGTTGTCTTGTGTACTTTTTCCTGGGGAGTTCCAAAGACATCACCCTGGGTCCCACAGCCATCATGTCCCTCATGGTGGCCAGCTATGCTGAAGGGGACACCACCTATGCCGTGGCCCTGACCCTGCTGTGTGGCTGTATACAACTGGGGATGGGAATCTTCAGACTAGGTCAGTGTAGCTAGTTGCTCCAAAATTGGCAGCAATACTCCTTTTTTATTTTTTATTCTTATTTTTAATGAAAATTTACCACATTTGTGGAAGGATTGACATAACAGGTGACTATCACCTCTTCAAAGATATCAAACCTAAGACGAGACTGTAATGAGGTTTGAACCACTTACGCCGGGAAGGTCCTCTACACTTTTCGATAAGTATGATGCACATGGGTTCTTCAATGTGCATCCCGTGTTTTTCTCCCAAATTGCTAACAAGAGACCTCCATTTAACGTCATATCCGAGGGACGTCCCTAACCGAAGCTAGGTACTCATTTCCACCTGAGTGAAGTGATGAGGAAAGCCGTGTAAAGTGCCTTTCCCAAGGGCACAAGATCGGTGACATGGGCAGGATTCAAACCCGTGACCTCTTGGGTGTGATCATGAGCCAAACGCGCTACCAACTGCACCACACGACCCCAGTGTGACAGCAATACCACTTATGAATGTTAGTTCATTCTCCACCTTACCTTCTATTCTTATGCCTGGTGTTCAAAGCAGAAAAAGGTAGTCTCAAAGCCTTTTTTGAGGTAAGGGCAGTAGGTTGTTCATCCACTGTGTATTGGAGGGATGAGCCTATTCCTCTCCTTCCATCACCTTTTAGTACTAGTAGTTTTACAGTCTTGAAGTCTGGAATGCTATTTGTCAAACCCACCACTCAATCAAGTGTCTGTTAGCCATGACTGACCACTTGGCCATTCAATGCCACCTAATACTGTAGTGCATGCCCGTAGGATTTTGAATGGGGGTTCTTCACACTGCTTGAGGGGACCTCGAGCGCCGGTTGCGCGAGGTTCCTAGGGGGGCCCGGGGGCACGCTCCCCCGAAAAATTTTGAAAAATGAACCTTCTAAAATGGCATTTAGTGCATTTTTGAGAGGATTTCCAAGAAAAAATCAGAGATAAATTTTTATTCAATGACAAAGGGAGCAGTTTTTCTACAATTCCAGTCTTGGACCTTTGCATAAAAAGTGGACCAAAAAGTGGACCGTAACATAAAATGTGGATCAAAAAGTGGACCTTTACATAAAAAGTGGACCAAAAAGTGGACCTTTGAGCCTTGTGTGGGGGTTCTTCCGAACCCCCCGAACCCCCCTGGCTACTATGGCATTGATTAAGAATTGGCAGCAAAAATTAATACCAGGTTGGGAGTGCAATCCTATCGCCTTCTATCTTTTAAGTGCAGTGTCAGAATTGATTGAAATTTTGAAGACAATTAAAGATGTTCCTTTTTCCTCCCCAGGTTTCTTGGTAAACTTCATCTCATTTCCAGTTATCAATGGTTTCACATCTGCTGCAGCCATCACTATAGCTTTTGGACAAGTTAAGGTAACAACTTTGAAATCTTGAACGCTGGCTTTGCATCAATGTATCCTGCAAATTATCAGAAACAAATGGTATCTTTTGCAAAGAATCATAATAATAATAATAATAGATGGTTTATTAAAAGTAGTTTGCAGCCACCGGGCTGAATTGCATACCTTGTACAATTGCTAAAAAATCTTAAATTACAAACTAACAGTACTCATTGATACTCAATATAGAAACTCATTAACACAATATAGAAACTCATTAACACAATATAGAAACTCATTAACACAATATAGAAGGCTTACTATTAATTTCGTCATAGTTTGCGTTAACACATTTACACAAATATACATGGCTAGCATTGACTAATCATTGTCACAATATGAGTGAATCATTGTTACCAGTCTTTTATATAAAATACACCTTTTGTATGATAGGATTCTGAAATGTTAGACATTTTTTTTTCAGTTTGTTTATGTTATACGAGCAAAAACTGTGACATGTTTTGAAAGGACAGTCTTCTTACATTCTTTTGCAGGTTTTACAGTGGCCTCTATCAGGTACATGTAGGAAATGACACGTCCTGTCTTATCTTGAAAGTTCATCTGTGTTGGTAGAAGTCATTATGAAGTAAGTTTAAACTGTAATTTCCAACACAACAAAAATTGGACTCACCCAAATTTTTGACTGTACAACTCCAGTCTTTTTCAAGGAATGAGCAATCCACCGCTTCCGTGACAGATAACACACGTGACTCCGTGAGCAGTGGATCATAGGTTGCAGAAAGTCTGACAACATATACATATAGAATCCCCTGGACATTCAGTCTCACTGGACAAAGTAAAAATCTTGGACACAGAACCGGAATTTTTTGCACGAGGGATTAAAGAGGCCATCTACATCAGGGCTTTACAGCCATCCCCCAACAGAGACGGGGGGCGCCACAGACTTTCTGCAACCTATGATCCACTGCTGACGGAGTCACGTGTGTTATCTGCGTGACGTCACGGAAGCGGTGGATTGCTCATTCCTTGAAAAAGACTGAAGTTGTACAGTCGAAAATTTGGGTGAGTCCAATTTTTGTTGTGTTGGAAATTACAGTTTAAACTTACTTCATAACGTCCTGTCTTATTATGCTTTCAGCATGTCCTGGGGTTACACAACATACCAAGAGACTTCTTCCCATGTGTCTACTACACCTTCAAGAACTTAGGAAAAACTAAGTAAGTAGAGAGAATCTTTGTAGCACAAAATAAATCAAGTACATGTATAAATTCTTTGAAAAGTCAGACATTTCAGATTTCATCAGTTAGTGAGAAAATCAGTAACTGAAAGAAAGTGGATATCTGTATACTATTATACATTTAACATGTACAACAAGAATTCTGAGATTTCATACCTCCATGAAATATGGGCTTGATATGGAAATGTAAATTTCCTCTTTAATTATGCAAATTACCTCCGCATTAACATGATATATGCATCGTGATGTATGTTAACTTTTGATTAACTTACAGATGTCCCAAGTATGACATTCCCATTATTCACCATTAAGAAATCATAGAATTTTTGCATAAATTATGCAAATTAGGTCATCATTTGCATAATTAGTATCTGTTGATGTTCTGCCTGCCATAGGTTACATACATTACATGTATGAAAGTAGTATAATGTAAAACACTGTAATCATAGAACTTCCTCATTAATTATGCAAATTAAGTCCTCATTTGCATAATTTGCATTTAATCATGTACATCTTTCTCTCGGCTACCTACACACCAAAAATTATGAAAATATGTTGTTCCTATCTGGACTTATTGGCTTTTAAACATTTCGCCAGAAAGTGCCCTGCAGTTCCAGAACAAGCTGCTAGGGGGACCAAACTCACACCACTTATTCCTGACAGGAAAAGCTATCTGCCACCAAAAAGTCAAGACCATAGCATGTTCAGGACAAAAGATACAAAAACCGGAAGTTCTGCTGCAGTACCAAGGTCATCCGCCAGGAGGCCCATATTTGACCTTGACGTTTGTCTTCCTAAGACTTACCAACATACCAAATATCATCATAATCCATAAAGACGTTCTGAAGTTATGCTGACCACAAAGTTGCGGAAACACACACAGACATACATACATACATACATACATACAGACAGACGCCGCCAAAAACAATACCTCCATTTTTCATGGAGGTAAAAATGCCTACAAAAGTACTTGGGTGCACCAGTGCACCCACAGAAAAGAACGGGTGCACAGCTCCAATTTTGGGTGTACTAAGGTGCACATGCATCCAGTATTTCGAGCCAACACCAAGACAACACCATAGGAACTGTTACAGTAGCTCACTAATAGGTTGTGGCAGGGCAGCGTCCCACATACAATGTACTAGAAAGTTCTACTCTGTTTGACCTACTCTGTTTTTATCCCTAGTCTGTGGGACCTGTTGATGGGAGCGGTGTGTTTTGTGTTGCTGCTGCTGCTGAAGTGGCTGAAGGATGTGAAGTGGGACAGTCCAGACGAGGTCGGGTACAGTCCCACACGCTGGCAGCAGGCCGGCAGGAAGGTCGTCTGGCTCATAGGAACAGGTACACAAACATCTGTCCATTGGAACTACAACTTTTACTGTAACTTTGTATTTGTATGTTGGTAATGTGCTGTCAATTTACTCTGTCAGAATGAACAAACTCATGACTTGGCCACCAAAACCAATACTTCTGTACCAGAAAGTACAATGGAACTACAACTGTATTACATAGTAACTTTTGTATTTGTATGTCTATACTGTGCTGTCTGTACTGTGCTGTCAATACTTCTATACCAGTGAATAATAAGAGAGTATGTGTTCATAGGAATTTCAAACTCTGCTACAGTAACTGTATAAATTACGGAGATAATTTCTTAACGTTTCTAGTGACATCCACCACTCTTCTTCAGCGTCACAAATGAACTAACAGAACTTTTTTTTTTTTTTTAACCGAATTTAACGTCATTTTTCCCCAACCAGGGGTTAGACGTGCTTGCACCAAGTACAAAAGTCTTTTTTTGAAGCAAGATTTTTACGGCTGGATGCTCTTCCTAACGCCAACCCAAACCCTAGTAGGGCCCAGGATCCCTAGAAAATGCATGTTAAGTGCCTTTCCCAATTGGGCACAACGTCTGGGTGCATGTCCGGACATGTCTGAGTCCAACCCTGGGGATTGAACCTGGGTCTTCTTGCTTGACAGTTGGACACTCTATCCACTACACCACACAGAGGCCACTCAAAAACTTAACACATATATATGAGTATGTGTATTTCCCCTGCAGCCAGGAATGCAGTGGTTGTAGTGAGTGCAGCCCTGGTGGTTGTAGCACTGAAGAGTCAGGACATTGATGTGCTAACCCTCACAGAGCAGGTCCAGCCTGGGCTGCCTGCCTTCAAACCTCCCACCTTCACAGTGCATCATGGGAACACCACAGAAACAGCTGGGGATATATTACAGGTAGGGCTTGGTACAAAGGAAAACAGTCCACTGTTGTGCAGATGTAGGTTATAATGAATATCCTGAGACACCATTCAGTTTAATTTGTATATGCAGACTTTGAATAATCTCCAAGGTGATCATACGGTGGCAAGGCAGTATCCATTGGCCAGAAGAATGTCCATTAGCCACCAAAGAACATTCTTCTGGCCAATGGATACTGCCTTGCTATGTATGATCTGCTTGGAGATAAGACTTATGTGGGATCATTTTTCTCTCCATTATCTTAGGGTCTTGGAGCAGGCCTTGCTGTGGTGCCTTTGATAGGCTTTCTGGAGTGCATAGCCATTGGAAAAGCATTTGGTAAGTTGTAAGTTGTGACAAGGTCTGAAATGATAAAATGGGTCTGTACAATGCATTCCACCCCAGAATATATGTAATATTTTTAGTTCCATCCAGGCTATGGAAACAACTACATGTATTTCTAACGTGATGAATATGGATTACAGTATTGAGAAATATTGCTCTCGTGCTAACATGTCTTTCTCTTCTTTATTTAGCCCGTCAGAATAACTACAGGGTTGATGCAAACCAAGAACTTTTGGCCATTGGTAAGTTTTGTTATTACTGTTTAAAAGTTAGGTCATTCTTGTATTGTGAAAAAAAAGTACTTTCAAACTATGAGTTGATTTGTTGAAAGATGGTGATTGTGTTTTGGGAGTGGCTAGATGATGCATTGTTTTATGGTACTTCACACACAAAGGGTTATGCTCACACACAAATGGTTTACATATTATTTATCTGCTTTGTTATTGGAAAAAATACCGAAACTTGTGATTAGCCCACTCGATTGTAACGCTTTATCAAAGACCTATACTAGCTCTTATTGTTTGAGTAATTAAGATATGTTAGGTTTTATTTGACATTAGGTCTTATTCAACACATTTATTTTGTTTGTTACTTTATGTAGTTTGCCATACTGTTCATATACTTACACAAATGCCTTTTGAATTAATTGAATTCTCTTTTGTTCTTCAGGTATGGGAAACATCGTCAGTTCCTTTGTTTCTTCTTATCCAATCACAGGCAGTTTCTCCAGGTAAGAAGAAGCATATTATATTATTTCCAATAACTAGTAAGTTTTATTCAACATCTTGGACGCTTTCTGCCCTATTATAAAAGTGGCGAATTTAGGGTACACCGTACACCTACGCAAATATACACAATATTACATCGCGTCATAACCGGCATGACCTATGACCTTGATATTCGATCAATCACCATGGTAACACGTACGTAACAACTCTTATGATATAACGGCAAAATGTGTCTTGGGTCTTGAAATTGGCCTTTAAAAAATAAGATTCAGAAAAAAAGTGGCGAATTTAGGGCCCCCTCCGTTACATACATAATATTAACAAGAAGTTAAGTGTGTAGATAGATTGCAGAATGATGTGTTGTACACAAAGGTTTGAATTTTTTACTTATCTTTCCAGAACTGCAGTGAACTCTCACAGTGGTGTGAAGACACCTGCTGGGGGACTTGTCACAGGTCAGCAAAATGTAAAACTGCAATAACATCAATTCTCAGGCATAGATCATTGATATATGTTACTTTATACATAGCACATCACAGGTTACATCATGCAGTATATTGCAGAGCAAAATTCAGCAGTATACATTACTAGTAGTATATACTATGCAGTCAAAACTTCCTAAGAAGACAACTCAGGGGACTGATAAAATGTGGTTCATGTGGACAGGTGGTTGCTGTATCCAGGATTCTTAATGCTTGTGTCAAAGGGGAAAAAGGGACGTCTATGATGTCTATGACGATTTACCACATTTGTGGAAGGATTGACATAACAGGTGACCATCACCTTTACAAGATGTCAAACCTGAGACCAGACTGTAAGGTTTGAACCACTCACACCGGGAAGGTCCCCTACTCTTTTCGATAAGTGCGGTGGGTTCTTTTACGTGCGTGGGGTGTGGCTCTCCCAAACACGGGACCTCCATTTAACGTCCTATCCGAGGGACGTCCCTAACCGAAGCTAGGTACTCATTTACACCTGAGTGAAGTGAGGAAAGTCGTGTAAAGTGCCTTTCCCAAGGGCACAAGATCGGTGACATGGGCAGGATTCGAACCCGCAACCTCTCGGGTGTGAGCCGAACGCGCTACCGACTGCGCCACACGACCCCACAGCAAAAGGGACCACCAAAGAGTTGTCATATTGGCCAGATGGTCCATATGTACAGGTGGTTACTGGTACAGATTTGGCTTTACCTTCAAGTTGGTTGTTTTGATAGATGATGTGTGCCATCAAATACAGTTGCTGTGACTATAGCATTATTAGTGGGATGGCCCTGTAGTGTTGTAGTGTGCTGAGCACATTGGCAGAATGTACTACACTTTTACAAAAAACGTAATGTATTGTTCAGAGCAGAATGGCAGAATGTCTCACATAAGGTCGTTTTCACGCATATAAGGTTAACATCCTGTCCATAGTTTTCAAATGTTATGTCGGAAAAAATATTGTCTACAACAGGCAAAATTCTGATGCAACGTTGACCAAAAGTCCAACGAAAACCGTGAAAAATGGGGGTTTTGCGCAGGCATAGTACATTCAGATATGCCAATGTGCTAGTGTGCTTTATTGATTTGGTTGGTCCGTGCTGACCTGTGCTGTCTCCTACTTTAACAGCTGCTGTAGTGCTGCTGACCCTGTAGTGTTGTAGTGTGCTGTTACAGTGTTTGGTCTGTGCTGACCTGTGCTGTCTCCTACAGCTGCTGTGGTGCTGCTGGCCCTGGGCGTGCTGACCCCGTCCTTCCACTACATTCCCCAGGCAGCGCTGGCCGCTGTCATCATCTCCGCTGTGCTGACCATGGTCGATTTCATGGTACTGGTCAAGCTGTGGAGGCTGCAAAGTACGGTCACAAATACATTGTTTTGCATAACCAGTAAACTGCCTATAGGCCTGATGCATCAGTTTTGTAGTAGATGTCTAAGGTATGTAAGGTGTAAGGTTTGATCCACTCCCACTGGGATGGACCCATACTCTTCTCAAGATGTTTGTTGGTATCTTTAGCATGCTTAAGGTGTGGCTCTCCCAAAACACTGGATCTCTGTTTTTAGGTCCCACCCAAGAAACTGTCCAATAGGTGTAAAGTGTCTTTCCTTTAGATGTAGAGTACAACATTGGGGTCTCCTAGGGATTAGATTTATAGTCTTTAAATTCTAAGTCAACAAACACAAAACCACATTGCCACCTCATAGCTTTGATGATCTTAGCTACTACCGAATTCGTTATGTTGACAATTAAAAGTATGTTTCTTCTTTGCAACTGCAAGAAAAGTGCTACATGGTTAACATTATTGTTCTCGTTTGCTTTTACAGAATTGGACCTGCTTCCTCTAGTCTGTACATTCTTTGGTACTTTTATTGGCATTGAGGTAAGGATTTTAGTTTCAACATGTACAGTTGTATGTAGCTTGGTTGGTGTGTCAAGTTTGTGTCAAACCGATATTGAAGATTTCTGTCTTTATTAGAAGATATTGGCCGAATTCACTCTGTATGTCTTATTCCAGCTGAAGTAAAAAGTTCCATACATGTCTGACTGTAGGGTGTGTTGTTTTATTTGCCGCTCCAGTGGGGGATTCTAGCGGGAGTAGGTGTGTCTGCGATGATCCTGCTCTTCCCACAGGCCAGACCTGGACTCCTGGTAAGTTTTAAGCAGACTTCTTAATATTTTCTACCCAGTGAAAAATATGTGGCTAGAATAAAGGAGCATAAAAGTTCGGAGGAGGGTGTTATTTTATGAAATTTAATAACTTCAGGAAGGAAATAGAATATAGATGCATACTAATCTACTTCACAGTATATGATAAAGTACCCACTATACGTGTATATAGTCATGTGTGCCAAAAAAATTCAGTACTCTGGAAAACTCTCCAAGCACCCTCTGAATATTCCGCTATTCACTATGGCTGAGTACAATGTAGCTGATGAAAGTTGTGTTGCAAAAATAATTTGCGTCACACTATGCCATTTATGTGTTTAAGCAATGAAGTGAACATTACTGAGATGCTTTGATACTAATTTTTGACTGGTATCATTTACTCACTCACTGTCCGGTTTATCGTCTGTTGTTCCCCGTCTTCCGAGGGTTAGACGTGCTTGCACTGTACAATTGAGGCTTGATGGCAGCCCACCACTTGCCTCTGTCCTGTGGGTTGAGGTTGTTGTTGGTATGGTACATGTATTCTAATTTGCTAATGACTGGTGCTAATTGTCTTTTCTGCCTTTGTCTCACAGGTAGACAACAAGGATGTGTTGATATTCCAGCCAGACAGAGGTCTCCACTACCCCGGTGTGGACTTCATCAGAACCCTACTGTATGACAGGGCACTCAAAGGTTAGAACACATCACTGCCTTGCTTACACATAGCTGGAAAGCTCATCTGTGTGTTAGTAGAAGTCATTCTGAAACTGCATGGTTTGAACTGTAACTTTCAACAAAAATAATTGGACTTACTGCTGGCGACAGTTCAACTCAAACTTGACAAAGATTGGAGTTGAACAGTCAAAAATTTAGGAAGCGGTAAGTGATTTTTTTTGGGAATAACAGTTCAAACATGTTTCAGAATGCGCGCATGCCTAGATCAAACATTGATGGGAGCAACTTTGATTCCAATTGTCTTCAAATTTCTTACTTGTATTTGATCCAAATATCAGTAATCAGGCCTATATGAACCTAGCCTGGGTGCCATCCCCAGTAGTATATTCGCCAGCTCTATAACTGGGTCTGGACTTGATGACATATGAAACGTCTGGTGATGACGTCACGTAATGAGCTAGTCCGAGCAGCGGGTCTTCATTTGATTGGCTGACCCTCAGAGGCGACGGCCAATGACGCGCCTGTATTATTCAAGTGATGTTTGTTGTTTTGTAAACACAGATCTTCGCGCGAGTGTTCCTTTTCTCGGTGCGTTCTATTTTTGCGAGGTCAACATCAAGCTCCGAGAGCTGAGCAGCGGCGTGTGCGCCAGCCATGTTGATGATCGATCGCGGAAAGTACACTGACTACGGCTATATCAAGCGCGCTTTAGCGTTCGGCGTCGGACATGTTGATGATAATAAGATAAGAATAACGATCTATCCTAACGTAGCCGTTCGGACGCTAACGTCGCTGTTCGGCCGGCCGAACGGCCCTTACCTAATATGTACACACCCAAAACAGGGCTTAGACGAGTAGGACCAATCAGCGCGCTCGTTCAAAATCTGAACGAATATTCAGACTCCAGACGCTACATATGTCATCAAGTCCAGACCCAGTTATAGAGCTGCCGAATATATTACTGGGGATGGCACCCAGGCTAATATGAACCCAATCGGGATGATTTCTCTATGGTTAAGAATACCTGTACATTGCAGAGGTGCTCAAATTGAAATGATCTGTTGCCTGTCTCCTTGAGATAGTGGCAAAAATGTAGAATGTGACATTTATGGACATTCATTTAATTTTTGTCTAGCCCTAACCTGTCGGTGTTGAATTCTCTTCTTGTCACAAATTCTGTTCCTTACAGAAAAGCCCTACAGACCAGTGGTGTTGGACTGTTCCCACATTGCCAGTATAGACTACACTACAATACAGGTGAGGGCAAGCCAGCATGTACAGTCGGATAGGGGATTAAACTTAGTTACTTCATGTTTAAGTAATGCTTTAACCATCTTCCTGGTTGGAAGCCAACTGTTATCAGTACACATTAACAGGAGTTGGAGTGTTATTGTAATTCTAGGGCTTGTGGCAGCTTGTGTAATAGAACGTTTTTAAGCAAAGAGAGAAATACACTACATAACTTAAGCTTGTACATGTAGTGCAAACAATATTTCCATATTTTATTTGCTTATTTAAGAAGTGCTGTAGACAAATGCATATTTCTAATACAGGTAGAAAAGCCTTCAACTGCAAAACATTCTTAATTTTCCTTTCTCTGGTGTTTTCACTATAACTAGAAAGTGAGAAGTTGAATTTAGCCCAAGTGGCAAAACTGAACAACAAAGGTTTTCATTCATTCTTTGGCATATACATGTACAAGTACAAATCAAAGTGACCTTGGAGATGCCATAACAGTAGAATCAACAGCCATTCTACATGTAGATATCTTCCAGGATCACTACTGTAACAGGTGTCTGATTGTCCACTTGACAATGCGTCTTTTTGCAGGGACTAAAAGAAGTGTTGGAAGAGTTCAACAGAATGCGTGTGCCTCTCACCTTTGCTGCACTTAAGGTGATACTTATGGTCCATGTTGTAGTAAAAAAGAGATTTTAAACCTCTTTGGTTGTAGTACTATTTATGAGTTTATTAGGCTTCTTCTATTCAAAACATATAAGAGACTAACTATGGAATGTATTGACAGCTAGATGTTTTTTGTATATGATATTTTATGGTTCAGTTGGGACAGATGTTGTGATAATCCCATCTTGTATTCTGCAGCCTCACCTGCAGGAGGTGCTGACAGCTGCGGACCTGCCAGGTTTCAGGTGCTATGCAACAGCCAACGAGGCCGCCAACTGTATCTATGGTCTGTACATTTCTTTCCTTCACTTTTATTATGTTTACCGAAGGAAAACATTGTTTTTGCTCTGTTTCTTCCTCTTCTTCTTCTTCTTCAACCTCTGACCTGACCAATGACATGATTTGTAGATGTCTGTCACCATGGTGACTGGTGTTGGGTTACATAATGTTGCAATTTCAAGGTCTGCTCTGCTCCTGTCACCATATACTAGTAGTACATATATGTGAATGTGTTTGAGTAAGAATTAACAGAGCAGACCATGTCCGAAGGTAAACATTTATATGCATTTGCTTTGCAAATGTTACTTCTCTAGTATCATTATAGTTTGATTTGTTGTTGTTGTATTTGTCCTCTGTTTTCTTGATCCTGTTTGAGGGTTTTCTTGTGTTATTTTACAGAAGATGGTGACCCAGAAACAAACCCTTACACTCCCCTGCTGAATGCAGTACAGCACTGACATGCTAGGGGGCAGTAGAAGGAGGGAACAAGTTCCATCATGTCACACATGATAACCACCTGTATGTGAATCAACGCATTCTTCATTTTGTTGATTGTTTGTTGGTAGTAGAAGGCTACTGATTTTAAAATAGTGACACATAATTGTGAAAAAGATATTAATTTTGTAAGAAATATTAGGAAAAGGATACCTGTACGCAAATTTTCATGTTCATAGTGTGTCCAGTGATACTAGATGAATCCGTAAAATTTTCCACACTCAGATTCATACAGATTCCAAAATTTCTGAAAGTCACTTTGTCACTCTGAGAACGGATGGCCAAATTTGAAAAGTGAATACATCTTGAAACTTCAGCTTCTTGCTAAAAATTTATCAAACCAAACCAATATCTTTTGGATATCTATCTTTAAGCAAATCTACACACATCTGCTCTACTATTACTGGAGCATTCTTAGCTCATGTTTTGTTGCCTTTGAGTTATCTGCTGGTAATATGGCCTTTGATATGAGCTATTTTGATCAGGAGTCTGAAAATGTTGTATTAATGTATTCAAACAATTGTTTTACTGTATTTGTTTTCATTGTATGTGTATCGAATTATGTCAGTAATCCACATAACAACTGACTGATGACAAGCAAGCCATAATACAAACCAATTTATTGCTGATAAATTGTAGATACATGACATTATATGTACAAAATAAAGGGCAGTTGCAATTATAGTAAATACTACACACTACTGGTACTTCTCAAGTATACTTACAGAAAACATAAGAAGTGTAAAGAATTGTTGGTTTAAAGAGATATGGAAAAGGACTTCTTGCCAATACCTGCTAATTTAATTGAGTTTTCTTTTGTTATTATGGACCTTTTGGTCTAAACTTAATGAAAGAAATATAAAATGATGATATATTTTGATTTGATTTATTGAAATTGCAACAGTGCAATACACGCGGAACAGAGGCAGCAGTTGCTGGTGTTGTGTCCCGCACATAGAAACAAATACAGGACAGACAATACTCATTTTCACTTGAGTCTAGTGGGGAAAGTCGTGTAAAGTGCCTTTCATAAGGGCACATGATCGGTGGCATGTCAGGACTCGAACCCGGGACCTCTTGGCTCCGAGTCGCGCACGCTGCCGTTGTGCCACACAGCCATTTTACAGGGAAATAGACGGTATCTATATATATTTGTACACCTATATTCATACATTGTATATTCTTCTATGCATATACAAGCTGAGTTTGACATAGAAGCAGCAATTGCAATCCTAAATTGTATTTTCTTCAAGATCTTTCTTCACACTTCTCCACATGTAGACGTAAAACACCCTTCTTATGCAGGTGCCTCAGCACTGAGAACTCATCCCCCATGTTGTGACGTCTGTTTTTCAAGACACCCTGTATGAACATCTGTTCTTCATCAAAGATGAGTTTCTGTCTACTGGAGATGGGTCGGTCAAAGTAGTGATAGGCTAGAACCCTGCCGTCTGAGGCTGTTCTGTAGGGCCAGAAGCCATACAGGTTGGTCTCCGCACACATGGAGAGGGCGATGGTTGTCACCAGGAGACCTGGGAAAGATGGGAGAGAAAGCGGAATGAAGTCAGATTTTGTTTTGATTTAATCAAGAAGCTTAAAAATCACAAGGACAGGAGACAGAATTACTACTTTGTGATTCCATCTGGTACTTGTCTTTAATGTTGCAAAGGAATAGGGAGTAGAGCTTTTCAACCTGATTCAAATTCGATTCTGTATCTGTATAGCCGGTATAACCGCCTTTCGGCGTAACACACCAGCTTCGCAGGCATGTGGTGCGGCGGCAGCTGGCTACATTACACCGAACGACTTGTTACAATTAACCCTAATGAACTTCTAATGCTAAACATGTCATATGAACAATACCAAAAGAAGTCCAATAGTGATAGTTAAGTCATGATGATTGTCTACTTCAGAGTTGTGATGTTGATTTTTTACCCAAGTATTTTGTTGTATAAGGATAAAAATACCTGATTTTCAGCTATGGATTCCTCCTATGCATGCAAGTTGTGCATATAAAGAATTATTCAGCAAATGTTAATTTTAGACCTCAATTTCATTCTTCTTCATCACATCAGTGTAACAGGACAGACTACACCCCTGGTCAGAATGTACCCCGGGTACATTATGGCTGGGGTATCTCCTGTTTGGGATGTCCAGCCCAGGCCACTGTTCCTTACCTGAGGTGATTCGCGCCTCCGTAAGGTGGAACGCCTTCTTCCAGAAACTGTCTGTCGCGCGTAGAAACTCCGGATGAGACCATCGCATCACCTTTTCTGAGTTTCTCATGGCTTGGTGTGCGCGGTACACCGGTTTTCTGTACCGTTTCTGGTCGAATGGATGGGTGTATATCACAGTGTTGGCGGGATACGTGTCCACTGCCTGCATAAAAGCACTGATGTTTTCCTTTTCCAGGAGTAGACCATATCTGCAGCAAGAAAGTGTCATAGAATCAGTTATACTTGTATCTTAATTACCTTCACCAAGAAGGTTATGTTTTCAGAGGCGTTCGTGTGTGTGTGTGTGTCTGTGTCTGTGTACACGATAACTTGAGAAGGCTTAAATGGATTGTTTTGATACTTGGTAGGTGGGTAGGTCTTGATGAGACCTCAAAATAATTTGGACCCCCTAGCGGCTTGTTATGATACTGCAGCTGAACTTCCAGTTTTGATATTTTAGTCATTTTACTATCATATTTAATGCATATTTTTTTCTGACACCAATGCTTCTTGCCAAAAATCTGTGTAGGAAACACTTCAGAATATATTCCATATATATATTCCATATATATAACATTCCATATATATTTTTTTCCATATACATATATGTACATTTGACTGCACATATATGTGTACATATATATATGGAAAATTGGTTGTACATGTACAAACAGGGAGATACATGTAATCTATTACATGTGTATCTTAAAGTCAACACGATATACATTGCGTATATATTGGTTGGATGAATCACTATATAATTTTCATTCAGTGATTTTAATCTTGCTGACAAAAACAGCCATGCACTTACCCATCTTGCAGGACCGAGGGGTTCAGTGTGACAAAGTTGGTCTTATTCCCCACATCCTGAGTAAAGCTTCCCTGGATTGGTGGTAAGTTCAGTCTGTATGCAAATGAGGGACATTGTTTTAATGGAGGGCTGATATTTCAAAGCAAGTCATGTTCTCACTGACCTTCGATAGTTTGTCAATAGAACTGGTTTCTGTTTACAATCACATATTCTAGCCAGCTGGTGTACTAAGGCCACACCAATTTAATTTCTTGGTTAACGGATTCGCCGCTTCATTTTTTTCTGATTTGCAAATAAAAATAAAAATTCAGAATCAACTGCAAAATGTTCATATTTTGCCCTGAACAGTTGAAAACAGTCCTTTTCTTACCACTTGTTACAGTCATTCCATCTTTCAATGCAGTAGTATCATTAAAAGTTCAAAATTCATTGTTTAAATTTTGAACCAGCCTGGTGTGTTGACTTCATGGCTCCTATGGTACCATTTTGGGCCATAATAGGATGCCTAGGCCTGTTTTTATTTATTTTTTTTTTTCGCTCGCCCGCTCCATTATTTTTGTAGAAAAATCCGTTAACCAAGAAATTAAATTGGTGTGGCCTAAGGGTCGCCTAATGGTATGTCATCAAATTAATCCAGGTCAAGGATATCTATATAACTGTTATATATAGACCGGAAGCAGGTAATTTTAACAAAGTTCTTTGTTTCTCAGATACAAAATGACAGTCAAGACCCTAATTGCCTGTACAATGAACAATTGGCACATTGACACTTGTACTGAGTAGTGCTGCACTTCGTCCGTTGAATTTCAAAAGATTCAAATTTATTGCGGTAAAGCTGTAAGTACTACTACCTCACCTGAACACGTGATCTGCAGAGTCGATCTCGTTCCCACAGCCACTCCCTGTCAGAACCCCACCGTTCCCAACCACGCTACAAGTCTGGTATGGTTTGACGGGAAACTGAACATTCTGAAAAGAAAAAAAAAGAAGAAAAATCAGTCTTGCAGACAAAAATATGTAGCGGCTCCGATAATCTATGGCTACGTAGCAAAAAGTGTGAGAATCGCGTTTTGAGAAAATATTTTTGCCGTCAATGAATGGCGGCCTTTATTGCACATTTTGCCACATGGGCTAATTAAGTACAGGTCAAAACAAAACATGATGAACACAGAACAGATGTGTGCAAAATAAATCTAGCTTTCATTACATACGTTCAACTTCTCCTCGCTTTTCAGTTATACGTTGTAGTAGAGATAAAGGAACAGATATGTTTTTCGATGGAAGGTTTGTCTAGTTGCATTAGGAATTTTTCTACAGTGCTCAAGTGCACAAAGTCAGGAATAATGTAACGTCATGTGTACTTGGCTGGAATTTGAATTGGCAAATTCTAGAGAGTATCAAGATAAAGTTAAGCATGATTTTCCTACGAATGCTGGTTTCAAAAATAATTTAATTGTTAGGTCCTTACCCGAGGGAAATACTTGTACGTCCCTCTCATGATCTTGACCGTGAGGTTGGACTGGAAGAATCTCAGGTGGGAGTGTACAGGCACGTTCTTCTGGCAGGTGTACAGGTGCGTCACCACTCTCGTCTTGTTCAGCACCATTTTTCTGGATGGAGTAGATCAGTAACTATCACGCGGGTTGGCGGAAAAAACTGTCCAGTCTGGACTGGTTTGGGGGGGGGGAACCTGTCCAGTCTGAATAAATGGTCTTCATAATGCTAAATTCAGCAGGATTGGCAACATTGCCAAAAATTTTCCCTTTAATCACCAAACTGATTGTTTTAGCCTGTCAAACAATATCCAAGTTTACTGTATTTTTGCTTTGAGATTATGTTTAGTGGTGTTGGATTGTCCGAAATCTTCTGGGATGAATTACAGTTTTTTTTCTGTACTTAATGTCTACACAAGATAGGTTAACCCTTGAATCCAACATTTCTTTGAGAATTTTTCCACCAACCCTCACAGTAATGCATTATCAGACCTTTTTGCTACCATTTTTTTATGCCAAGCTGCAATGCACTTTACTTAATTAGCTTGACTTCTAGATATGTGTTTTATTTTGAAAATCCTAAGAGAATAAAAATGATTAATTTGAAATTGTCATTCTTAAATTTTACAAGGCCTCGTAAATTTACTCATATCACTGATCTGCCCAAAACTACAAAATAAACAACTCTCTAAGCAGAGGTTGTTGATCGTTAGCTTTTTATGTATGGCCGTTTTTTTTTTTGTCTTGATCCCGTCGGTGGCCGGCGACCTTCTCTGGCTAATGGATACTGCCTGGCCAACTTTTTGCCACAGAAAGGGATCTGCTTGGAGATTAAAAATAAACTACTAAAACACAAATAACAAGTAGGAGAAAATTATATCTCCTAGTATTTTTATTTTACCTGAAGTTTTCAATTTCCGTCCGGTTGAAGCCAGTCCAGTCCAGTCCGGGACCTTGTGACAGTTCGGGCGGTGAGAGCTGTGGCTTTTGCTGCACCTCATCGAGATTCATATCTTCTTGTTCGACAATGAAAGTTTCTTCTTCTTCCTCCTCCTCCTCTTCTTCGTCGTCTTCTTCAAATTCCTTCCCTGGATAGTTTGCCTTCTCTTGTGGCCGTTGAACTTCCCTGTCAGCACTCGGTGTGTCCTCATCACGGATACTATGCCAGTGTACAACAGCAAGTTAAAGACATCTAATGCGCTTTCAGGGCAACAAAACTGGAGATTTGCAAAACAAGGCAAACTTTGTGATATTGACACATACTGCTTCACATTTAAAACAGCAGAAACAAGTCCCAATATGAGTCCTGTATTTTCTGGGTGGTACCCTAAAACTCAGCCCAGGGCCCTTCCAGTAAGCATTTTCCGTCAGAATTTAGGGAATTTTTGCTCCATGACGGTCAATGTACATTGGGGTAGTGTGGTTTCAACTCACTATAAAAGACCAGAATATTGGCTTTGAAAAATTGGCTTTCCAAGCCCTAAAAACTGCACTGGATGCCTTTAAGTATTAGACGAGCAGCAACCATCTCAGCTCTAAATGGTTGTTTAGTTTGTTTATCTATGATCGCCCTAAGAATAACAAATGCATAAACAAGTAAATGTGCTGTGAAACATTTCATGTTTTCCCCAAATTTGTGTTCAAGCACCATCATATTTAATTTCTGACGAATATGCATTGATCTGAAAGTTGTTTCCAGTGTTGCTGTTGTTATAAAGAACTCAGTCTTTTCCCCCCAATGCCTAGCAGTTTTGTCTTAAAGCATATGCAACGGAGCATGTATACGCCAATAATTATACCTGTAAACAGCCAACTCTGGAAATACTGTCTTCGAAACAGGAAATCGTGCTTATAGCACATATCCCGCATATCATTATCAGATAAAAGAGTACGACTAACCGCCCACAATTCGTTAACATTTGCATGCACTCACCACTGTTACTAGATTGAGAAGTAAGACAACTCAACAGTCATTTGACCTGCGTTATAATTATAGTAAACAACTAACTTTGAATAGGCAGTGGAGTCGTTGTTATCAGTGTTGTGACAGAAGTCAAGATGCCAAGTTTCTAACTTTCTTTGATTTGTCACAACAAATTGTCTTTGCCGCAACCTTTATCGTACCTTAGGGCTAGGCTATTCTTGTTGTACTTTTACTACTTTTTTTGGCTATCTTTCTGTGCAAAGCATCGCTGAATCCTTCAAATCATCACTAGTCAGGGGTAGGTGGTAACACGTACGAATGGCAATGTTGATATTGTATCATATATATATTGATGGCAAAGCTAATTGATGTAGGACTTACCTTGAGATATCGATAGGTCCTTCGAACTCTTCTCTGAGATCTCGGACCCCACGATCTTTAATGTTCTCCATGACAGCGCGAAAGTCGTCCTGCTTATCACAGCCAGGGTCTGAAGCACGGCCGGGCATGAGGACGAAAACCAGTACCGTCTGGTTGGCAGCCAACACAATTATGGCTAGAAGGAGCCTGGATTTGAAATCGCGACCTGACATCCCGAGTTGTGTCAATACACAAAGCCGGAGACACACTGTATGTCAACCACCACCGGCCGTATTTTTTTATCGTCAAGAGAATACAGATCAAAAACTTGCCAAGGAGTCCAGCGTATTTTACACCAAAAATGTGTCCTATCGTACGTGTACACCAGTTTGGTGTACTGTACGGTAACTGTAGACTGCGAGCACTGGCCGATGTTTTAAAAAATCGCTCAGTGGTCGAGAGGTGGACACCTGTCGTACTTCTGCCCGGATAATGTTCTTTTTCAGCACAGTCGTCGGACGAGCTTCATTTTCTATGGTCTGCTCCGTGGCGTAGGCTTTGTGGCCGCGGGGAAACACTAGTCAAAGAGGTTACTGACCCTAGCTCAGCAATGATCAATCTAGTCAATCCAGACGTCATTTCATGCATGGTTGGGTGACAGTTCAGATCACTTTAGTCCAAGGAAGTTTCAACATGGTTTTCAGGATTCCCCCTTGCTTCAGTCCGACACGATGTCACCACGTCTTGTTGTCCGTATAGGAGGCTATTCGGTATTTACCTCACATGACCCACCAGTTTTAACTTTATGGATGACATCTGCGCGCGCATTGATTTTCGCATGTTCTCAAAAAAAAAAAAGATCATGTCCTCCGAGGCCCTGGCATGGCTCTGGGCCTAGGTAGTCCATGGTAGTTAGCGGCAATACGGAGCCGATGGTAACTCTGGAGGATGGCACCCATGCTACAGAAGGTCCACAACTCAAGAACTCAGTACATACGAGACAGTGCCGATTCATAAATTCCGCAAAAAGCCAGCATGTGCTTGCTTGTCGTATACGTCGCTATGTACTGCTGCAAATTCACAATACAAACATTTTTATTTTTGGTCGGAATTTTTTTTTATTCGCCCGCACGTACTAGTTTGGGGGGTCTTTAGAGGATGTCATCCATTGAATTTTAATGATTTTTAATCTTAAAAGTCGGTGTGGCCTTATGGTGGAAAACTGCAATGTTCATTCCGATGGTGTAGTGAGTGGCCCCTTCATTCAGTCTGGTGCTCAACGGGCAAAAAAAACAGAAAGAAACGAGTTCGAACTGGCTGCATCTTGTTACGAGCAGGTTAATAGCCACTGTCCAACCACACATAGAATTTTATGTGTTGTTAATTGTCATGTGTATCATCATGGTCACAGATCTAGTGGTCACAAATCTAGAACTGTGCCACAGTTTACGTTCTACACTGTCAACTTTTTAGGTTGGTTGCCCTGACAACTCCTCAAATAACGCCATGTGGCTTCAGGGGACATGAAATGCGTAGCCACTTTGTGTAGGTGGGTGGTTGGGTAGGATAATTATATATCCATTGAAACAATAGCGAGCTCCGGTTTTGTCTAAAAGCATTGCGTAGATTGCAGACAACTACAGGAGCGATACCATTGAGCCCCGAAAAAGATGCCCTATTTTCGTTGGTCTGTCATTTCTTCCTAGCATTAATTCTGTTGAACTTCGAACTTTATTTGATAAAAACAACATGACAGGAGAAACTCCTTAATTGTGTAATTTTACAGCAGTCTAAAATTCAACAGACTAACGATTACATGCAATAAGTCATCATTAACTAAAATATATAAATTCCTGTATTCTCATTACCCGACTTCGTCTGGGCACCTGCAGCTTGAATCACAGTCTTTATACCCGAGGTCTTGTTACAAGTCCATCCTGTAGCTGCGGGTGTCCATATGAAACGATTGCTCATTATTTATTGCACTGCCCTATATACACCTACCAGCGCTTAGTTCTTTTTGGCAAGCTTTCAAGCATACTTGGTAATATTGTTGATTTAAACACTCTTTCTGATAATTCCATACAATATTTAGTTCTTCGCGGTAGTTTCCTTTGTTCGTATGACACCAACTGCAAAATAATGTTAGCCGTACAAAATTATATATTAGAAACAAAAAGATTCTAACTGTATGTGTTTTCTGGGATGGGAGGATTGTTACTCACGCGAGGTCTCGTGTATTTTTAAATGTCTTGTAAAATATTTTTCTTTCATTGTAAAAGTGGCTGCGAGAATATAAGTTGTACCTAACTTGAGTTCGCAGTCACTTAGTCCATGTATTTTCATTTGTAATTCTCATTGAGCTTCTGAATAAAAAAAACAACAACTAAAATATAGTACATATAATGCGGTGACATAAATATACATGTATACACTTAAAAGACAGGTTCACATACAAATACTCTGCAGAAGAAGAGTTTGAAACTCAATTTACAACTGTTTCTGTACGTTGCATGACAGTTCTGGGAATAAAGGATTGTCTGTGTCTTTCGGTACGACTCAGTGGAATGTTGTAGTTGAATGTTTGGCGCTCAGTAGTTGGTACTAGTATGTTGACGATCTCCCCGGCTCTAGGAACTGTTGTGTGACATTGGTTGTATTGCTTCATGCCCGTAGCCAGGATTTTGAATGGGGGGGTTCTTCCCACTGCTTGAGGGGACCTCGAGCGCCGTAGGCACGAGGCGAGCGCCGAAGGCGCGAGGTTCCAAGGGGGGTCCGGGGGCATGCTCCCCCGGAAAATTTTGAAAAATGAACCTTCTAAAATGGCATTTCGTGCATTTTCAAGAGGATTTCCAACAAAAAAATCAGAGATAGATTTTTATTCAATGACAAAGGGAGCAGTTTTTCTACATAAAATGTGGACCAAAAAGTGGACCTTTACATAAAATGTGGACCAAAAAGTGGACCTTTACATAAAAAGTGGACCAAAAAGTGGACCTTTGAGCCTTGTGGGGGTTCCGAACCCCCCGAACCCCCCTGGCTATGGGCATGTGCTGTATGGGCGTTTTGACACTTGAATGAAGAAGAATCATGACTCAGAGAGGGTTAGAACTATGTGATATTTTATTGTTCAAAAGCGCTGATTTTTTATATCTTTTAATAACAAGTGTACATATCACCAAGGCGATCAACCTGGCCGTTGAATCGATATAATAGTATTACATTTTTTTACTGCCCCTTCTGTGATAGCGATAGAAATACACGTATACTTTTAAGTCATTGAGTAAGTAGATTTTCTTACTTAAGATAATTGAATAGCAAACCAACTTTAACTAATTTACCTCCTTTTACACTGATGCATTTACCAAGAAGCCCGAGGAAGTTGAATGTACCATACGCCGATGAAGGTATAAGATCAGAGCATATAGATTACGTAGTAAGTGCATTACAATTATCCATAGTACCCTGTATATAATGTACATTATATCAAGCAGTTATCACAGTAAATGATAATTGCACCCAGTGACTCCGTGGTCGGGGTGTTGCCTTCTGATTTATCATATTTTATATATGATTTTCTGAACTGTCCTTCTGGCTTCTTTTTCTTTGTGTCTGGAAAGTCCAATCTTTGCATGGTTGCCGCCAGTCCGTTCTGCATTGTCTGCTATCTGGTTGACCGGTGAGTCTTTTGTTTGTGTTCTTACATCGGGTTCGTACGGCCTTTCTTTTCTTTCTTGTCCCCGAAAAGTTTTTCCAAGCCTTTTTCGTGCAGGTCGTTTTGTAGTCTGTCCCAAGCTCTGTCTGCTCTCTTCAATGTGTCCAGTTTGTCGTCCCGGTTAGAATGGGTGACACTGGGGTGAATGAAAAAAGCCATATCATTGTAGAGCACGGTATCCAACATATGTAAAGACAACATAACAACTTGTCAGTGTCGATTTTAAAGAAAAGTACATTGTATTTTAACGCTGCCACTCTTAAGTTTACCTTTTGTTTGCAAATAAGTTAGTTCTCTGGATATGTTAGTTCCGTTTTATTTAGTAATACGGATGCATTACTTGTGACTTTTGTAGTGGCTGTATAACATAATAAGAGGTTAAATTTTATTTACATAATGGAAAATATTCTACTCCTGATATGCTCTTAGTTCCGGCCCCATGCAGTCAATTTCATGTGACAAAATGATTGACTTATGGCAACTCAATAATTGTCATCCTAACACCTAGTTACAAGTTACTCAACTCTCTCAAGCTATTAAGCTTCCACTGAAGTTGTCTTGCCATCGTGTTTCAACCTTGCCATCACATGAAATACGTCCATTCTAGTAATTTTTTTTCCGAAATTGCCTCTAGAGGCATGTATATAGAGCTCACAGATCTATATATCTATATATCATATAATACTATATGACATATAGAGTTCTACACTTACTCTGATGTGGGAGAGTCGTCCATACTTCGTAGTTCTCTGCGAATTCGAACCGCTGGCTCCTCTCTCAGTCCACACGAGACTTGGTCTGCCTCTCCCGACAGTTTGAGAAAATAAATCACTAAGATTTGGTTCAGTCCGAAGAGAAAGAACGCCAGGAGTAACCGCCAGTTGACCAGATCGTCCGACGCCATGATGAAGCTAGATCGCTTGGTTCTGTTGTATCCAGGTATGTTGACGCTTTTCCAGAGGGTGCGTTGAGGAATATTTTCGTGTACACCTTACATGATTTGGTAGCCGTCTGTCGGGGGCTGTAGGCGTGCATATAATTATAGCAGATAGGTGGCCGGTTAGACCAGTTGGAGGCTTATAATTGGGCATGCTTGACCACCTCAGTTTCTTTTGAAAGAAAAACGGACACACACCTTCCCTCCCTGCCCCTTTCTTTTGACACACATAGTCTGCATACTTTGCATTTTGTGTGCATTTGATGATGACATCCTTGTTTAGGCCACACCGACTTAATTTTATGGATGACATCCGCGCGCGCATTGATTTTCGCCTGTTCTCAAAAAAAGAAAAAGAAAAGATAACCATGGTAGTTAGTACAATACGGAGACAATACGGAGCCGCGGGCACCCAGGCTACCGAAGCTCCACGACTCAAGAACTCAGTACATTGACGTACGGTGCCGAATCATACCGCAAAAAGCCAGCATGTGCCGGTTTTCGTATACGTCGCTATGTACTGCCACGAATTCACAATACCAGCTTTATATTCCTGTGGTTTAGTAGCATTTTTATTTTTGGGCGGAATTTTTTTATTCGCCCGCGCGCATTAGTTTGGAGGTTTTCAGAGGATGTCATCCATAAAATTAAGTCGGTGTGGCCTTAGCCTCAAGCGAGCTACGTGCTAGCGTATATCCATGTACAATAGCATATCATGTTATTGTTATATCATGTTACAGTATTCTGTATATCTTTCTTGACTTTACATATGATGTCCTGAAAATAAAGAGTACATACCACACTGCAGAGTACAGAAGGAAGAAGACGTTTATTAACAAGTTCACGGAAAAGCCTTCTTCACAGATATGAAAGGAAACAGTGATTTTGATTGTTCAAGTCTCTCTTACAGGACGGACGTTTGAAAACGTATATAAACACAACATCGAAGGAAACATGTTAACCTCTGAAAAACGAAATATGTCGCTCAAATACAGATCATTTGTGTTAGAAGTCTGCAGTACAAGATCGAGTACGAATCAGCCATGGAATGCTGGTACCGAAATACACATTTGATACCACAAGTAGTAATCAGAATGAGTGCACAATACAAAAACATACATTCTTCTGTGCATCTATGCCTACTCTTAAGTGCTTTTTCCAAACATACAATGCAGTTAAATATAATTACAGCTTATTAAAAGAGCTAAAAGATAAGTCAAAGCTCCTTAAAAAGATCACATACAGCCTATGGCCTAGCATAAATGGTCTTATTCTACAATTGTCTAGGATTAAAAGTATCTGAGGTATATCAATAGTGCAGTATACATGAAGATTTTATACTGTGTTGTATCCTCTCCCATGTCTTATATTCCGTACCGTGCATTAGTTTCTATCCAGTCAAATAGGTGGAGATTTTACAATTTGAACGTGAACAGTAGAGTTAGTATAAAATACAACACTTCAGTTAAAACCAACGTAAACATCTATATAGTATCACGCAAAAAAAAAAGAATTAGCCAGTCAAATAATCGATTTCACACGATAAAGTCCATTTGTGTATCCGTAACTATACTAGATACTAGTACGTCCTGTAGATGTGTAAGTAAAATATCGGCCTGGTGCTAATATAACATCGTATAACAGCCCTTTATCTCTTTTGGGCACTTCTGTATGTGTATGACGAGCGCCCTCTAGCGGCAGTATTGGGTACAGACTGGTGTCTGAGGCCCCGGTTATACCCGGGGTACTGAGAGTGGGACCTGGGGTCCTGGGGATAAGAGCCTGGGTATTGTGGGTTAGACCCAGGACTGTAAGGGTTATAACCAGGGTACTGGGGACTTGGTTGTGGATAATGAGGGTTTGACCGGGGATCCTGTGGGTAGGGTTGTGGATTTTGGGGGTGGGGATTCTGTGGGTAGGGCTGGGGATTTTGGGTAGGGCTGGGGATTCTGAGGGTAGGGCCGTGGATTTTGGGGGTGGGGATTCTGTGGGTAGGGCTGGGGATTCTGAGGCCTAGGTTGGGGGTTCTGGGGGTAAGGACGTGGATTTGAAGGATATGGGTTGGGTTGAGGATTTTGAGGGTATGATCGGGGGTTCTGAGGGTTAGGGTTAGGGTTAGATCCTGGGTACCGCGCGTACGGGTTGGAACCCTGTCGTGACGTGTCGTGGTAGGAGTACGAGCAGCTGAAGGGGTTCGCCTTGAGCTGCTGCAGCCGCCGGGCGTACTTGTTGTTCAGCTCCGCCATGTACCCCTTCTCATCCACCATGCCGTACCCGTTCCCGTCCACACGGCCCATCATCACGTACTCCGCTCCTGGCAGGACACACACACAACTATCGTTAGCTTTTAGTCTATTTTATATGATGAATACATAAGCAAGTAAATATAAATGACATATAACAGTGCAAGAGATGCCAAAAGCGTATGGTTTTATAAATGCGTACTTTATCAACTTATAACTTATAAATCGACTACACAAATTAAGGAAATAAGTTGGAAATATAAATGAATGAAACCGTGTAGTGATAACACAGTACAATTGAGAATTTACTACCATAATTTGGAGAATCGTGATATGACTTAAATGTAGACTTTAACGAGAAGCAGTAAACTAGGAAACGCAAACCAAAATTAGGGAAATGAAATGGAACAAAAGTTTGTAGTTAGTGTATAAAGGGTAGAGTCAACGGGATCATGTAGGAATGTAGTTCTGTACAAATGTAGTTGTCCAAGTTTGAAAACTTGACCACTTTCTTATTCCTCCCCTTCCACTAGTACAATGCCTTACACAAACGGTCAAACCGGATACGTTAATGTAAGACCTTTGATAATTGAAGGTTAAATATGGAGTCAAAATATGAACAGCACAAACCTCTGGCCACATCGTAGCACGGACACCCGTGTTTGTTGTTGTAGTTCCTGGGCAGGAGTACCTGTACCGCCAGGTCCCGGCCCTGGTACTGGATAGACCTCAGTCCGCCCCGCTTACTGATCATCTCACTGTCTGTCACCATGGTAACTACGCGCCAAGATGGCGTCAGTTCCAACTTGGACACCCTGCCGGTCATCACTGAAGAAGGGGACATTATAAAAGATGCAAAATGAAAATACGTCGGAACAACACACCAGTCACCGATATTTCCCTATTGCAAAGGCATGACATACTCGTTTCTTGTGTTTTATAAGAAAGACCCAAATTGTAAGGCACATTTCAGTTTGCAAAAAAATCTAAAAGAAAAATACATGTTTTGAGAATACCACGCTTACTATATACATGTGTAAGAAATTAGACCACTTATATTCATGGAGGAACAGTACAGTAAAGAAAAGATACTCACCGAACTGGTTGTTGCAATAACCCCTGTGGAGCCCGTGCCGTTCGTGCTTGCAACCACCACACTGAACTGCCTGTTGACCTGTAGTGTGCGATATTTCATGTTGAGTCAAACTTGCCCAACTTCTTCACAGTACTTAATAATGATATCCATCAAATACAGTTGCGTATAAGTAGAACTATTTATTATAAACAAGAAATGAGAGATTTCAGGCTTCCGGGATTGTATTTGGTACAAGAGCATACCAAGTTCACGACTCCATCATCAAGTGATCATGAATCTCAACCTCAAATGACTCGGCCAAGGCCCCAATGCGGACTCGACACAAACAAACAAACAATCAAGTAAATGAAACGAAAGCAATACTTCCGTCCCGGAAGTAAAGACGTTTCTATTTAGAAGACTACGATGATGGCTACTCACCTAGGCACTCAATGGTGCACTCCCGCCAGGACCCAAACCGGTTGGTGTTTCCTCCGCAGCCGCCGTACTGGAACTCCTGACACACCCGGCTGACGGGGTCGAAGTGCCAGCGGCTGTGCGACTCCTGACACGGCCCCGGCTCAGCGGGAAGGATGCAGGCGTCACCCATGTAGCTGGGCACCTCCGGTCGGGGGGTCTTACGGGGAGTCTCCACGGCCGGGCCGGGCTGGGGCACGGGAGACTTGGGCACGTCGCCACGCTCTGGAGATGTTAACGGACATCGTGAATATTAATGACACATACGTATACGTATCGATTGTGTTTTAGTTCATTCAAAATATGATTTAATGAATTCCGAAACAGCCACTCCATGCATTTCATACCACATCTCCTTTGTTGAACTAATTATTTTCACCTACATGCGCAGCAAGTTTGAAAACAATATGATAGCTGATGGAAATTTCTTCGTGCCCCTTTATGCGCATTAAAAATGAATCGTTAGCTTGGCCTTTCTATTCAATGTGTTGGTGAGGGTTGTTTTAACCGTTATCATTTGGAGGCATTATACGACAGTCCTAAAAAAAAATTTGCTTTTCAGCCATGGAAGGCCACGCCCATGCTTACCTGTGCAGGTTTCCATACACTCCGCCCAGCTGTGGAAGTTGTTGGCGTTCCCTCCGCAGCCTCCGAATCGGAACTTGACGCACGTGTCCCGGCTGGGCAGGTAGTAGTACCGGCTGATCTTAGCTCGGCACGGGCCCCGACGCTTCTTCAGCCGGCAGATGGTCTCCCGGGCCGAGGGGGTCGTGGTCGGGCGGGGGGTTGGGGGTGGGGTGGGTGCCGGAGGAGTGGTGGTGGGGGGAAGTGGCGTGGCGGTTGCTGCTGCCGTTACGCCAGGAGCTGGGTCGTCCTTTTCTGCAGGAAGACACGAATGAATACTATCTAAGAATACTACACAATATCAAAATAGCGAAGTGAATCAGCACGCTAAACTTTCAACTTTGCCAGGCCCTTAGAATATGTCAAAGGTTACCATATACTATGAAAATGTATCCCTATTTTCAGACTCAAATATCCATATTTCCTGCCCTGAGTCTTAAACTCGATCGAGGTGGAGCGCCCTTCGCTATGGAGGCACAGAAAAAGTATAAAGGAGAAGTGGTCCGATCTCTGTCATTCTTGAGTAAGACGAATAATGACGAAACCGTCGAATTCCATCTCAACGCTGTCATTGTTTCAAATCTATGAATGATATCCTCCCCTGAGTCTGCTTATGTAAAATGCTAAGAAATAACAAAGCATGCTTGTACGTCGATACATAAACAAAGAATTCGAGGAAATAACGAATAGATGAACTGTTAATAAAAATTCCTGTACAATTCCTAGAATTCTTGCAAACTGCAAACAACACTGTACCATTACGCTCCACTGAGGCGTCGCCAAAAAACAAGGAGCTAACTCACCACACATGACGTCGTACGTGATGAGGTAGGTCTCGTCCCACAGGTACAGCTTCTTGTCTGCAGGGTTGTAGTCCAGCATGGTGTTGTAGCGGTACGGGTCGCGCAGCTGCACCAGCACCTCGTGCTCCTGCTCCGTGCGCGTGTCGAAACTGTAGCTGATCTTTGCCGTGAAGTCGTGCGCGTCCGTGGCGTACAGTACGCCGCACCTCATGAAGGCGTTACCCGCGGCACGCTTGAAGTAGCTGAGTGAAAACAGGTAGGTGTAATGAGTAAATTCTCACAGATTTATATGACAATGACAATGATGTTTATTGCATATTCATGCCCTTCCGGGCTAAATGCATTGGGTGACATAACATACTGTATGATACTAGTTACTAGTACATAGGGAATTGTATAAGAAGAAAAACAAAACAAAACTAACATCTACTGTATACTATAATTCATCTAACTCTATTTAAGCTTACATAATAGCTAAGCTATTATGTAAGTTTCTTCTCTCCTCTTGAGACATGCGTACACGAATTCACAGAGCTTCTCAATCACCAGGTGTTTAGACGATGACATTATGTATGTGAACAGTTCGTCATTTGTTAACTTTGTAACTCTCTGGCCCAGTTTAATAGTGTTAAAGAGAGAGATGCGTAGATCTCTGTACAATGGGCATTCCAGGATAAAATGTTTTTCATCTTCTATACATTTATATGGACCAGTTATAAGGACTATGTCTATGAGTATGGATAATGACTTTGTTTTTGTAGTTGCTTAAATATGTTTGTTTTTGCCCTGTTAGTACTTCTGTATGTTTTCCATGCTGTTTTGATACTTGTATAATTTGTATGTTTTATGTGTCCAAAGCACTGTGCTTAGTCACTGAGAGGCCACCCTGGCTAAAGAAAATAGAATAAAAAAAATTAATGCTAGCTAGCACAGTGTGTCTTAAAGCGGTTCAACTGTAGCTTAAAAACTGGTTACTGACGCAGTGTGCCAAGAACTAAATTCTGAACACTGCTCACCATCATATTGACAGTTTCAACATCAATAGCTAGTAACCTTTCAGACTAAATTATTTCATTACTATTTTGGAGAATGTATATTTTATTTCACCAAAAGAGAAACGATTAGGTAAAAAAAAAACTTTTCTAAAGTTGGCAAGAGCAAGCAACATTTCACGGGTAAAATTCTATGCTTGGTATTTGACACGAAAACAACTCAGCAACAAATTTCTATATGAAATATGGCTTCATCTTTGACAGTTTTTAGATGTCTGGCCTTTGACTTACCCAGCGTTCCATGTGTTGATGATTGATAGGTCCTGCGGGTTGATCTGACTGACCACCATGTTGCCTCTGTTCTGCCGGGTACCGTAGATCACGTACAGTCCGAACTCGTCCACGGCGAAGTCGATATCCGTGCTGCCTCCCCAGGAGTACGAGTACGCGTTTTGGATACCTGGAGATATTTTTTCACATTTTTATTTATATTAAACATCCGTTAGGCCACACCAATGTAATTTCTTGGTTAACGAATTCGCCCGCTTCATTTTTTTCTGATTTGCAAATAAAAAGAAAAATTCAGAATCAACTGCAAAATGCTCATATTTTGCCCTGAACAGTTGAAAACAGTCCTTTTCATCCTAGTTGTTACAGTTATCCCATCTTTCAATGCTATGGTATCATTAAAAGTTAAAAATTCATTCTTTAAATTTTGATCCAGCCTGGTGTGTTGACTTCATGGCTCCTATCATACCATTTTGGGCCATAATAGGATGCCTAGGCCTGTTTTTATTTTTTTCGCCCGCCCGCTCCATTATTTTTCTAGAAAAATCCGTTAACCAAGAAATTGAATTGGTGTGGCCTTAGCTTGTCTCTCTCAAAAGTTTTAAAGGTTGCTACTAGATACATCCGCTGTCAGCAGAAGATGAAAAAAATGTACAGCCATGTTTTTCTAAGATTTATAGTGAACCTTTCTATACTCAATATACAGTTTTTTTTCTGTGTGATGTCTAGCATACAAATTTACATTGTGTTATGTACTGAATGTACGTGTTATGTATTAAATGGGGATATCATATATGAAACAAAAGACCGTGCGTCTGTGAACTTTGTTGAGTTCAATATGTTTGGTTGTCTCCCAGATGGGTATAACCTTAAACTTTTCAAGCCTAAGGTCAACAAACATCTGTCCTCACTGTCTGTGCAGTAACCCAAAACATTTGAGTGGCTCCCATGAGCCTTGTTTTGTGGTGAACATGAAGTAAATAAAAAACTACTAGTATTATATACCTGCAAATGGCAGCTGTTGTCTGGCCGCGACCCGCTCGTTCTCCAGATCAAACTTGATGAGATCCTGAGTTCCCGCCCGGTTGTAGTACGCCGAGCCGCCGTACACAAGCTGGCCGTTCCCGGCAATGTCGCTAGGGAGCTCCCATGTACGGGACACCTGGGAAAGGGCAAGCAAATAGACTTTGCATTGGAATTCTATGCTGAAACCACTAGAAACAAGCACTTTAAAGCACATTTAGCTTTATTTTAAACCTCAAGTCTCTATCCCTACTGCAAAGCTGGGTTGTCAGGTGTCTTTTGGTACAAATAGTGAAAGGTTGACTCCGGCATTTTAAAGAGCTACAGCCAAAATATTGAAATGATACCAGGATTTTTTCCCCTGACAAAGTTGGTCAGTTCACCCAGGGAAGAACTTAGTATTTAGAGGTCAATAACAGGTCAAATCATGCACAAAGGCCACACTTTTTGGCAAGATTTAAAAAAAAATCTTCATTCTTCTGTCCCTCTTACGAGAAAACTGGGCCTTTCTGAGCAACATTTGCCAAGAAAAAACTAAGTCCTAAAATATATCGTTTTCTTCACATGGCGAATCCCACCTGGTCGTTCATGATGGCGTGGTCGTTGTCGTACTTCTGAATGGAGCGGGGTCCGTCGAAGATGTAGATGGGGCTGGGATCGAGAGGGTCCCGTGCCCAGGAACTGTACCACCCGCCCCGCCCCACGTCCTTCACCACCACCGGGGGGCTCAGCACGAGCGAGCTTCCGCTGGGACAACAGCCGGCTGAAAGAACGAAATTCACATTCATCTTTCTTTATTCTTTCATTTCTTCTACAGGTAGATTCTCATAACTGATTTACATCAACTCGTCTTCCTTTTTGTTTGTTTGAGCCTTTATTTCAACTCGATCTGTAACTGTGTTACATGCTCTAATCGGCCGCTATTTCGGCCGCTTTTCATAGAGGTCGAGCGTGGAGGAGTGTCAGGGGGTCATAACATAAATACTACTTATTTACAAATGAAAACAAAGTAATAATTTTTATACATAAGGTAACTCATACAAAGTAAATAAATAAACAAAATGGCAATAACTAATAAATAACTCATAAGTCGTTGTGTCCAAAATCGTTCAGTCAAAGTCAGTTACGATACTAGCAGTCTTTTAAAGGTGCCAAGAGTAGGTGCTGTTTGTTATCCATCTTGTACATGCATTTTCTATGTACTGCGTTTCTTGTGTCCCTTTCAATGCATTGTTCATATTTTTGTGCTCAACAATATCTGCCAATAGATGTACTCGATGTCAGGCTTATTACTCTTTAAAGCTAAAAGAATCCGGAAAAAGAAACTTTTTGGCCTAAAACGGTACCTACCTGGTCTAGAAGGCGGCTCGGTGCGTGGTTCCGCAATCGGTGGCGCCGCTGTTTGATAATCATGCTCTGAAAGGTATAGATCGGATTTCATCATTAGAAATTCTCAAATGTTTAAGGAAAAAAAATCACTAAATTGTACGATTAGATATTAACGTTTATTCAACACGCCATACAGTATTTTCCACAAGTAAGCCCGAAATCCCTAACAGAACAACACTTCAGCACCAAGGACAGTTCCAATACACCAATACATCAACGCCCCGATACAGCCCTCCTGATTGGACAAAGGACTCCTGATTGAACCACGCCCACCTTCACAGTCTAGCTCCTCCCCCTCCGTCAGCCGTGTGACCGCGCTCAGGGCGTTGCCGTACTTGTTGACGCAGAAACAGTTGACGCCGTCCAGGTAGCACTGGCGGGGCGTGTACCGGCCCTCCTCCGTGCAGGTGGGCACGAAGGACGACCGGGAGCCGTTCGCGTGGTCTGGCGAGGCCTTCAGGGCGGTCAGGGCTTCCGCACGCGCACGCTCACACAGGGTAGCTGGAATATCAAAAAGAAATCATCATGCTATCATAATCTTGTCCATCGTCAATAGACGGTGCATTTGCTTGTTTCTTCATCTTTTAAGGTACGCAAGTTCGTCAACTTGTCCCAAGAAGCTTTAATGACAACTTGAATCTTGTGTTATCTATTTTGCACGATATATGATACCACTTACGCATCCTGGTGGAAACGTCAGGCCCCGGCTGCGCCGTTGTGTCGAGAACCGGCGTGGCAGTGGTGCCCAGACCCGGTTTGGAGGAGGTGGTAGGGGCGGTGGGAGTTGCGGTGAGGGTAGAAGCTGTGGTGGTGTCGATGACCGGCGGTTCTGTGGGGAGCACGGCCTTGTCCGGAGTCGGTGCCGCTGTGAATAGCTCTATCTCTTCTGTGGGCCCTGCAAATAAACAAATTGTAAGACTGAGGACGAATAAAATCACTCAGTCCTGTAGAAAAGATTCTTGTTCCAAAAATCCACTGCTCTAAACTACTAAAGAGCGGGATTGCATCTCTTACCTTCGCCTCCGTCCTCTCCACTCCCAGTCTCCCACACGTCTACTTTAGCGTCATCTACACCTGTGAAGAAGAAATAAATCATATGATGATATCTCCAATACACATGGTCACCTCCCTAAATAAAGCGTATCAAACCTTTTGTAAGCTAAGAATCATTAACATCTATTTGGCACTACAAATATTTTGTAATGATTTGAGATACTGTACTTTTGTGACATCTTATGGGAAGAGCCCTTAAATACAGTACTGCGATCGGAATGAACCCATTACAAAACTTCCACTCGCGTTTCACGTAAGGTACCCGGTATGGACTGTTTATCCCCACCGTACCTGAACAGACCGGCCTGGCGCCCGGCTCGCTCACGGTGCCCGGGATCTCTTTACCCGACTCGTCCACACAGAAGCAGTACCCGGAGGCACCGTAACACTGCATGGGGAAGAACTTCCCGTCCGCCGTACACGTGGGGATGTAGCTCACTGTTAGAAGGGAAGCAAAATCGTTAAGAAAGGGTAAAATTCCATCGGAAACTTGTGGAAGAAAACAGTTATTGTACAGAGACTGTTGATCCCCCAAATGTAAAGTATAAGAAGGAAACTTACTTTTAAAGTTTTGATCTGAAAAATAATCTATCAAAGTTTTTTCACAAGTCGTCCGCCACTAAATAGCCTACTCCCTGCTGCCAAGCCAGTGACTAAGGCCATGTTGATTTGATTATATGGATGACATCCGCGCGCGCATGAATTTTCGGCCGTTTCCAAAAAAAAAAAAAGTTTTCAACCATACTGTAAATCGTACAAAACAGTTGCAAAATGAGCAAAAATATACCATAAGTTACAAAAAAATTAATAAAAACTATACCAATGTCGTAGAATGCCAACATCAAACGAAAAAAGACGAAATTGTAAAGAAATGAACTTGAAGACTAGATTATTCGCCAAACCATATTCTGTCCCATTTGTTCAACCCTCATGACCACGTAGATTTCATAATGAAAAGAACTTTTTTTTTTGCAAAACTTTTTTTTTATTCGCACACGCGCATCAGTTTTGGGGCTCCCGGAGGATGTCATCCATATAATCAAATCAACATGGCCTAAGAGAAACACACGAATTGAAACTACTACTAGGTTCGTTTTCGTATCTCGTGCTGATCTGCACAAGACAACAGCACATGTGAAATTCTCGCCTGTCCTGTACTGATCTAGACGTGTAGAGAAGTGTTGAAAACCTTGTCTAGACATGAGAGACATGTGTTATGTACCTTGTCAATAGGCAGGGTCAGATAAGAGATCAAATCAACATGGCCTAATACAGAAATTGGTAGTCAAAAGGCTATCTCTTTCGACTTTGTGCTAAAGGTTAAGTGACGAGCTTTTTGTGGACCCACCTTCGTCAGCAGAAGTGAAGTTGTACCAGAAGAGCCTGAGGGCCCGCCTCCTGGCGTCACGGCATGTCAGGTTCTGGAAGGCGCTCAGTCCTTTTTCGGGAGGCAGGAACCTCTCTGTCTCGTTCTTCTGTGTCTCCGCTTTCCCAGTCACCGGTTTGACCGTCACGGTCGGTTTGGGCGCTTCCGTCACGTCTAGACGAATGAAAATATAACGGTTGAACCTTCAACTTCTGTGGCATTTTTATGCCAATGCCTTGGGACGGAGTGTCAATGTGCAAGAATACATCGATAACAATCGCGAAGACATGAAACCGTAAACTGGAATATATACCTTCTGTTTCACTTCCAAGTGGCATTTTGCCCTCTTTGGTGCCTGGCTTCGGTGTGGCTGGGTATTTAAGAAAGAAAAACATATTTTGAATTGGAAAGTGGCATTGAAACTCTGACAAATCTGATTTTCTTTAAAGAAAAAGATGACCTATAAAAGATCTTTATACACAATTAGCATAATTCATGTTGAACTCACTTTCGCAGACGACATCTTCCTGAGGACCCACTCTTGTGCCCAGGATCTCCTCGCCCTCTCGGTCCACACACCAGCAGTGCCCGGTGCTGTCGTGACACTGGATGACGTCATAACTGCCGTCCTCTGCGCATGTCGGAATGTAGGCGCCCAGGAGCGGTCCCTCACTCAACATTTCTTCTCGCTCCAACTGACACTTGGTGGTTTCAGGGGTTCCTGTGGAAAAAACATGGAAGTGTAATTAAAATATCGCCGCCAATCTCTCCCCCACCGCCCTTTTTTTATTCCAACATTTCATGACCAAACATGGCGACGGCACACTCAAGTTATATCAACTTATTTTATGCCGCCACCAACACAGAGTACAAATACAGTACTCATTTTTGCTTGAGGTGAGGAAAGTCGTGTTAAGTGCCTTTCCCAAGGGCACAAGATCGGTGGCATGTCAGGACTCGAACCCGGGACTTCTTGCTTCCGAGTCGAGCACTCCACACGACCCCATATACACGTGACTAAATATGTGGCGCATGCGTGCGTCCACCATTTTTTTGTGAAAGTTTTTGTCGCGATGTATTGATTTTCATAGAATCTATTGGTGTCAGTTCTAAAGCTGTCATTTTCTTCTCAGTTTTGATGTGCAAGTGACCTGTGTCGTGCAAAAGTGTTGTGCCAAGAAATGTTTTCTAAGTTTCCAGACCTGCGCAGTTAGGGGACTCCCCTGCATCAACTCTCGTTCCCATGATCTCCTCCCCAGCGTCGTTGACGCACCAGCACTGCCCGGTGCTGCCGTGACACTGGACGGGACTGTACAGCCCGTCCCCCGTGCACTGCGGCACGTACACCCCCGCCAGGAGACCCCGGCTGTTCGCGTCCTCACGCTCCTCCTGGCACTTGGTCTGGGGCGGGGCGTCCGTGACTGGGGCCTCGGCTGCGATCGGAAGAGAAAATCACGGATCATTGTCATCATTAGACTAAACAATGTCTTGCTGTTTACTGATAAAAGTCTTAAAATCAAATGTATTCTAGATCTGTTAAAGAAGCCAGCTTCTGGAAAAGATGGACGATTATGGATTAGAATAAATGGTAAAAGTAATACATTAGATATCTAGATCTATACTTCAAACTACTAAGGGAACATGGATTTGTTATGATTTGATGGTGTTAGCCAAGATGCATCCACAAACTCTGCAGAGCGTTTTTAGAGTGGCTACAAAGCTAAGCTGGTGTTATGTAGGTATGCAGTACGTAGATATCATCAGCAAAGGGATACTAGGGATGGGGATGGGCTTCCATGGCGAGTGGTAGGATGTAGTTATGCTGGCTGTTAGTGTCCATGAGAGGTTCAAGGAGTAGGTTGCAATTGGTGCAGATGCGCGGCAATGGTGTGGAGCAACACGGGCCAGATTAGCGTACGGGAGCGACCTCTAGCGGCTGATACCTGAACATCTGGGGCTCTCTCCCGGGCGGACTCTCGTTCCCGCCACCTCGTTCCCGAACTGGTCGGCGCACCAGCAGTGGCCGGAGCTGCCGTGGCACTGCACGGGGGAGAAGGAGCCGTCGTCCCGGCACTGAGGCACGTACGCCCCCGGTAAAGCCACGGCTAGGACCTGCTGTTGTTCCTGCTCACACTGCGACTGCGGGCGCCTTGTCCGAGCTAAGAGTTCAAGTTCAATCGTCGTCAATTGTCTTCATATCTTTACATCTCTATCAGAAAGAAATGTAGCGTATCCACATGACAATTCTTATAACCATTGAGACGCTAGAAATATGCGAGTTTTTTTAACATACCTGATAGATCACCGCAGTTAGGAACGAGTTGTCCCGGCGACACCCTGCTGCCTGAGATCTCGTCGCCGTGTTCGGAGACGCACCAACACTCGCCGGTGCTGCCGTGGCACTGCAGCGGGTCGTACGTACCGTCCTCCCGGCACTGAGGCACGTACGCCCCGGGGCCGAGCCGGGCGTCGATCGCCAGTCCTCGGTCGACGTGACACTTGCCCTTCTCCGCTGTATTTTGTGTAGACGACAAATATTTCTTCGTCAGTTTGCTTTCGCGATCATTTTCTTACACAGAAGATATTCTTTTGATCGCCACTTCAGATTGGCTTCCCCCATCTATATATTATTATTCGATTCGCTCTCTCTATAATACCTCTAGAGGTATTTATAAGACGACACTTTTATTATTTTCCCTATCTTATATTTTCAGCTGTACAGATTTTAGGGATCTATACATACAGATAAAAGAACAGATTTGATTCAGGACCTAACGCAGTAATTTGGACGCATAGATACACACCATAGGTTGGCCCATAACTTAAATTCTATGAGTTTCTGACCTGAACATGTGGGAGTGAATCCCCTGTCCACCCGTGTGCCCGGCAGCTCCTCCCCGTCCTTGTCCACGCACCAGCAGTGCCCGGTGCTGCCGTGACACTGCACCTCCTCAAACGCGCCGTCCGGTCGGCACTCCGGGATGAACATGCCGACCTGCAGCCCGGCGTTGGCGGCCTTAGCGCGCTGCTGCTGACACTTCGTCCGGGGGTCTAAAGGGGGGAATTTGCCATGTCACAAGATTGTGTTTCTTTCATGCATATTTCTCAATACACATGTTGTATTACAACGCGACACTGCGAGGCGGAGTAGTCAAAATAGTCGATACATTCGAGCTAGAAATTTCGAATTCAGTCTATTAATTAATGTCAATAAGTAGATGGTAAGAAAACAATGCGTTTGAAGCAGACATCCTTAAGACATCTGACATGAAAGCTTCAAGAAATTGTCAGAAGAAATGTATCTGAACGTGTCTTGGTTACCGTTGCAGAAGTCCATACACTCCATATAGGTGTGGAACCTGTTGTCGTTGCCGCCGCAGCCTCCGTACGTGAAGCGCACGCACCTGCGCTGTGTGGACAGGTAGTAGTACTTCTTCTGCCGCCCTCGGCACGGACCTCGGTCCTTCAGCTGGTTGCAGACGACCTCGGGATCCTTGGAGGGTGCTGCGGTGGTCTGTGGTAGGTCCGGTATCCGCTGGCTGTATGTTCGCTTCACTGAAAGGTATAATAATGGTATCAGAGAGTAGTTTCGCTCCGCCCCTGACGCGACGCCAAAATCTTGCTTAAGGCAGGTTGATGATAAAAATACTGAATGCAAAACAGGGCCAGTAATTTTTTCACTCTTACCAACACATCTCTTGGCGTTAACATTCTCCAAGCACTCTTCCCGGGTGCCGAAGGAATTGGCGTTCCGCTCGCAGCCCTCATGCATGTAGGTCAGGCAGGTGCGTTTCTGGGAGTTGTAGTACCACCTCAGCCGCGGGGAGGCGTTCGCACACGGTCTGCCCCGGAACAGGGGAAGGTTGCACACGTTGGCGGTGGGAGGAGTCGGTGGGGGTTCCTTGAACGCTACAGGACCGACATGAAGAGCACAAGTTCAGGTACGCGATCACTGTAACTCATTTTCAAGTCACTGTAACAAAGGCACAATGATAAATGTAATGGAAATACAGAGAGTAAAAAAAATGTCTTACGGCAGCCCAGTTTCG